ATCCCGCGCCTTTGGGAGGCCGAGGTGAGTGGATTGCCTGAGCCCGCGGGTTTGAGACCCGCCTGGGCAGCGAGACCTCATCTCTACACTAAATCAAAAAATCAGCCGGGCGTGGTAGCGCATGCCTGTAATTCCGGCTACTCGGAAGGCTGAGGCGGAAGGATCGCCGGAGCCCAGCAGGTCGAGGCTGCGGTGGCCGGGAGCGGCCTCTGCACTTCAGTCTGGGCGACAGAGTGAGACTCCAACTCAAAAAAAAAAAACTTTATTACTATAAAAGAACCAGTGTCAAGCTACAGATTCTTGAGAAGCCAGGCCAAGCATCTAGGGATGCCACTGCTGCACGTGACCCCCCCCCCAAAGGCTTCACCTCCCACTTGAATATCAAGCCCATTTTGACTGCCAGGAAGTTGCCTCCACCCTCCTTGGCCTGCCTCATGCTTCCGTCCTGCCTGCTAAGTTTGATTGTATATGCACTCTTCTCTTCTACTAAAATGTGAGAACCTTGAGGGCAGAGACTCTCATCTTTGTACCCTAGTGCCCAACACAAAATCAAGCCTTAATAACTGTCTGTGAAACAAATGAAGGTACACATGTATGCAGACCAAAGTGGCACCTGAAATGATGTTAAGCATTTCTCAAAAGCTAGCCAGGCTAAGTTGAGAGTTTACCTCATCCTGCCTCTCAACTGGCTGTAAACTGAAACTTGAATTGAGGCATTTTCTAATTGTTCAAATCACAACATCGCTCTTTTTTTTTTTTTTCATTTTAAAAGACAAACCTGGCTGGGCATGGTGGCTCCTCTGTAATTCCAGCACTTTGGGAGGCAAAGGTGAGAGGATTGCCTGAGCCCAGAGGTTCAAGACTAGCCTGGGGAACTTGGCAAGACCTTGTCTCTACAATAAATCAAAAAATTAGCCAGGCATGGTAGTGTATGCCTGTGGTTCCAGCAACTTGGAAGGCAAAAGCGGAAGGATTGCCTGAGCCCATCAGGTGGAGGCTGCTGTGGCCATGAGTGTGCCACTGTACTCCAGCCTGGGCAACAGAGTGAATCTCTGACTCAATCAATCAATCAATCAGGAACAAACTTGATCTATTTTATCAACAGAATTAACAAGAGAAAGCAAAGAAGATGGAGATTTATTGAATACATATTATATATTTGGATGTTGATCATATAATCCATACTTCTCTGTGAAGTAGATATTACTATCTGCATTTTACAGTTTATAACACTAAACCAAAGGATTCAAATAATTGAGTCGTAGAGCTAGTGAGTAGAAGAGCTAGAGTTTGAACCAAGGTCTGACTTAGCCTTATCATGATGGGGATGTAACCATTACCAGAGAAATGCCTCACCTGTAAAAGCACCTGAGCAAAACAGTCATGCAAGTGTAGAGCAGATGCTTCCACTCCTGCTTTCCAGGGCTGAAGGCATCTGAGGCCTCCCAGAGCACTCTGTTACGCTTCCATGAACCTGCTCAAAGGAGCCAAAATCTACTCAAGTAGCCTATGGATGTTAGTGGGCAGGAAACCAGGGGCAAATGGCCTCACTTACTACGAAGAGATGGATATTTGGTTACCACCGATTGGTCAGCTTCTACTTTATGGTCTTCAGTCTTTCCAGCTTTGAAGAAAACTTCACTGAAAACAAACTAAGTTCCTAATTCTCATTCCTATCTTTGAGAAAGAAAACTGTCAGAGATAATGAATGAAAATTATAAACTTTATATGAATGTCTCTCATATTTTTAAGTTGTGCTATTTCTCTAAAATATGAAAACCCAAAAGTCAGACTTTATTTGGTCACACTCCCAATAGGGGCCTCCAGAATGTAAGGTTAAATCCACCGGGGGTATGGGTGTCTGGTGTATGATCCGGTGCCACAAGAAAGATGCAAAGAATCACACCGAAATTAGAAAATATGGCTTATTTAGAAAATAAGTGAGAGAGAGGAGAGATTCGCCTTCCCAAGGTAGGGGAGGAGGACAAAGCCAGGAAATACAGTGACAGCCATAGCTCAAAGAGTACATGGCCACACCACAATCTAGTAAGTTAGTGGCCACTGGATACTCATGGTTGCCTCCTTTTAGTCCTTCCCTTTGATGGGGGAAGGTCATTAAGGTGATTGGGTGGTGGTCTGCTCCAGGTCATCACGAAGGGGCAGGTAAGCGCAGGTACTGTCTCATCAGGTGATGGGCAGCAGGTAGATGGGTGGATTAGTCACATGATTGTTGCCATGGTGGTAGGCTAATGGGAGGAGACAAGGGGAGGTGTTTTTTCCTGCAAGAGACCTGTCAGACATTTCCAGTCCACAAGTTCCTTAGCAAAAAATGTTGTCTCATTATCATTTCTATGACCTCAGCCAGCTAAGGGATGATCTTTGACCTTTCTCCTTCAACAAGGAACCTGAAAGTTTCTTAGAGATTATTACGGTAAACCATGAATTGAAAGGTTGGGCTTTCCTTGTCTTGTATCTGATGGAGATTTGCTGAGGGAGTGGGGTAGGCTGCCACCTTGGCCGGCAGTAAGATGTCTAGATGCTTCCTAAAACCTGCCTATTGCAAATTTATCTGTATATGTCTAACCTGTGCTAGATTCAAAGTGTGTCAGTCTAAGCAAAAATGGTTATGCTGAGGCAAAACGTGAACTAAGTTTATTCTAAGTTTCTCAGAGTCCCGCCTTTCAGGCTTTGCCTCTGTATCCCCTGGTATACCTCATATTACATTTTACTGAAACTTAACCAGTTCTCATGGGCCAGAATTCTTATGTCATGACAACCTGTCATCAAAACAATTGATGAAACACAGTTTTCATGTTCATCACACATCATGGGATTGCTTAACCCTTACGTACACATATATCTGTAACTTTTATTTATATCTTTTGTTAAAAACAGGATTTGATGGCAATGACTAGTTGTCTTAAAGCAACTATAGGAAAAACTTCAAGCATTTAACTGTTACCTCTAATTATGTGTAACTGTGTAATAACTGGTCTTGATGGAACTTTAAATATTATAACATTTTAAAAAATAATTTACCAGTGTGACTAATAGTGGCCTTGCTTAACTCAAAAAAATGTTTCCTTAAAAAAAAATTGCGTCTTCTTATGCCCTAATACAACCATTTCAATTATTTTCCCATTTGAAAGTTAATTAGGATGCAGCAATTGTTTTGGATAACTCAGTATATATAATATGGGCAACTACCCCAATCATGTATATTCTAGTCTCTGCCTTCAGAAAATCAGAAAGGAGTTTATATTCAGCTGTAAACTAGAACAATGTTGTGCTCTTGTCCTTTAAGCTCAGGTAAAAACTAGGTTTTTAATTCAGTTTCTGGAAACTTAATGCATGTGTCAAATTCAGATGGGTTGTGCATACACAGCTTTTTCACTAGGGAGTTTCTACTTTAAAGTTGGCTGACCTGCTAAAGTGCCCTAAATTGTCCTTACAATGGAATGGTATGAAACGTTCAAAGTGCTATCTGACTCCTTCCCTCTGGGCTGTTAGGAAAACCTTGAAGCCCTAGGCCTAGGAGAGGTCTGAGGAGGCCACTTGGTCAGCACCACAATTTCAGGCAAGACCACTACTCGGGAGAGACAGATTCCAGAAGACTTTTGCTATGAATCCCTCCAGAATCACTGCCCTAATCCACCATCCATGTGATAATGTCTACATTTGTACTTACTTATGTGTATAGTCATCATTGTTTAGAAACTTAATCTCACAGAAGCCCCAGATTACTCAGGAGGCAAGAGCTTCTTATACTGAATTACATGTTAGGGCAGTATTCATACGCAGTTCACTCTGTATTCCTGTATAGTTTTACTTTATATAACTTTGTTTACATTAGGAAAGACGTTGACAATGATTATGTGAATGAAAAATAAATAATTTTATTTTTAATTAATAAACTGTATGAATTGGTAATACCGACTATATATTATCCTGTAATACTGTTACTGAATTTTTAAATTGCCTTCTCAAAATTTCCTCAGAAAGATAGCAGGCTCCCTCTAGTGGGAAATAAGCAGTATAACTGAATTATTTCCCCCAAAGCAGAGTGTAACTAGAGTAAGGCTTTGTTAGAGGAAAAAGAGCCTCTTCTGACTCTGATAGTTTTGATTCCATAATATCTGTTTATTTTTCTTATAAGATTTAGCAAAGAAAATAATATTGATTATCAAAGTATGTTCATAGGACAGTGATGGACTTAGGGTCAGTCTCCTCTATAAGCAAAGAGAAATGAAAATACCAATTTGTGCCTAGGCATTAATTTGTTAGAAAATACAAATATATATTTATCTGCATATATTTATGAAATTTATAGGTATACAGATTCTAACTGTATAACTTACCTCTTAAGCCTTTTACTTTAATAATTAAGTAATTTAAAGGATTATCTCATCATTTCTTGCCCTCATTTTACAGCTGATCTCAAGATTACACATTTGAAAGCCTGCTTTTATCTTTGACTTTCTATTAATTTTACAAAATGTAAACAACATTCACTTTGATTTTTCTTACTTTATGAGAGAAAAATTCTATGCTTTTCTTAGGTAATTAGCTTTCTGTTCTGTATAATTTATACTTGAAGCTAAAACTGTATCCTTATAGAATTTAAGAATTTATATACAATGTTCATTCAGAATCATCAAGAAAAATTAAAATTGTGCCCAGGGAAGTAAATAAGTAGTACACTATAAGTATCAGTTTTGGTTTCATAACTGATTGGTAAAGAAAAAAAAAGAAAGACAAAAATTTAATGAAATTTAGTATTAAGAATGGCCTATAAACTAAAATGGTAAATAATTCCAGGAAAAATGGTTATAGCAAGTTATAGAAATTTTCAGTTTTAAAAGCCTACGTCATATATTTTACCCATCCCACTTTTATTTCTATCAAAGTGTGTGCTTAAGTGCTTTTTTGGTAAGTGACAAAGTCAGTCTACACAGGAGAAAGATTGGTTCTCAATAATTTTTTTTCTTTTTTTCTTACAGCAAATGATGTGCTTGGTTTTGGAACACTGGTCAGCACTTCCAATACCTACGATGGGTCTGGTGTTGTGACTGTGGAAACTGACCATCCACTCGTCTGGACCATGGCCATCCAAAACTAACCTGTCACCTGGCATCCATAAGAGTGACTCTGCCTTACCTCATTGCTCAACAGAAACAAGAATGATTCAGCTGGGTTTGCAAGAATCTAAACCTCTCTATGGAAAGCCCACTATTTTTGAAGAAGTTAATGTTTAGATGATCCAAGTAGCATTATAAATGACAGATCTCAATTTTATGGTAATGGGAAAATTATGTGTTAAGAAAGCAAATGAGCTCTGCTACATTCAGTTGGAAAATTAATGGAGATCATTCCACCATAAAATTCAGTACTAATTATTCCTAAGTTATTAATCATTCCATCTACCCTAGAAAATTGTTTTTAAGTTGAATCAGAGAAGAATCTGATAAGGTTCCTCTTGGAGTCTAGCTCATACTTATATGCCTATCAACAAGGGCTACCTCTGAGTGTTTTAATATTAGACTTCTCTATATAATATCTATTACCGTCTACTGGAAAAGCTTTCCTTCCAGATTGGGATGCTAGAAATACACCATTTCACTCTGGCCTTATTACTGTCTTTGGTGTTGTCTTTTAAAAATAAATCAAGAATCATTGACCTAGTTATTAAATTTGAAAATAGGTAGTTATGTAAGCTATAGCTGAAAAGAAAAATGACAAGAAAGATAAATAATAATTCATGACATGCTAACCCCTAAACTCAAGCTTTAGTAGGCGACAGTCTTCATCATCGTTATAACCTAGACTGGAAAAGCTGTGCAGAAGAAACTTAACAATGGAATTGTTTCCAACATACTTCAGACTGAAAAAAATTGGGTTCTTAAACCACAGGTTTGTTCAAATTACCAGAAAATGCGCTTGCCTATGGGGAGTAAATGAACATCAGGTACAAAGGAGTCTAGGTCTGAAGCCTGTCTTCACATACCAGTCTGCCATTTGCCTAAGTTCCCTGGACCCTTTTCCTTCACTGTAAACTAGAAGGGGCTGGACTGATTGTATCTTAGGTTCCATCCCACACTCAGATTCAAAATCCTGGCACCAGTCAAAAGACGGGTAATACACACAGTTCCTGACTTCACCAGTCTAAACAAGCCAGTGCATTGAATTGTATTCACCTTTCTTCTATAGTGAGATCCTCTTTATCATCTTTTCCCCTTCTCTGTCTCATTTACCCAACTAACTGTTGCCGCACAAACCATGACTTAAGGAGAACCTGCCCAACATGTTTTATGGATACAAATCCCGACGTTGCCGTAAGGAAGGTGGCCAGCAACTGTTTTCACCTTGGTGCTACATTAGTGTGAGGCTCAGGTTGTCAGCAGAGAATGAAAGGAGGAGTAGCTCAAGTGTCCAGGTCTTTTCAGCACGTGTCACTACTTTCTACTTCACTAGAAGTTGAGGTCAGCCATGTTTTCATCTGCATTTTCCAGTGACTAGTTATTTATTACTAGAACCATATTTATAATATATAAAAGAAATATGTCCAGTCTTTCAAAATTTTACTGCCAAAGCATGCACGTCCTGTTTTCCCTGACAATCTTTACAGTATTAATAAATGGGTACTTATTTTAAAAGAATATAGATTGCTGCTTAATGAACATGGGGGGCGTTAAAAATATAGCATTGAGACTTATCCCATACCACCACCTATGCATCATGATCTATCATACTGTAGCCATTAGAAGCCCCTGGAAGGGAGACTCTTAACGCATAAGCCATCATTCCCAATTCCTGCCAGACCACTGAAGCATTAGGTACTGGTTTATTACAGTAGGCCCTCCCTATTCGTAGGTTCCACATCCAAAGATTCAGTCAATTATGGATTGAAACTATTAGGGGAAAGAGAAGATGGTTGCATCTACTCTGAATATATGTACAGACTTTTTTTGGTCATTATTCCCTAAACAATACCGTATAACAACTATTTATATAGTATTTACATTGTATGGAGTATTATCAATAGTCTAAAGATGATTTAAAGTATACTGGAGGACGTGTATAGGTTATATGCAAACAGTGCACCATTTCATGTCAGGGACTTGAGCATCTCACCTGTAGGCTTTTGGTATCTGCATAGGGGAGGAGGTCCTGGAACCAGTTCCCCTGCACATACCTAGGGACCATTATATTTGACCCCTTCCCATTCCTTAAAACTACCTAAGTGGATTTTTCTCTTTATATGCTACCCCACCATATCACTTAAGTGTCCACTTATTTTTATAAGAACAATATGAGTCTGCACATGAGGAGATCTCAGGCGCTCCAGTGAGCTATCTGAGCCTCCTGGGAAGTTCCTCTTTTCTCACACCTGTTCAGTTCAGACCTTGACCTCCAGCCTGTAGCCATAAAAGAGAAACTGCAAGTTGGGCCCTGCTAGAAAACTAACCGGTGCTGCTTGACCTTTTTGACTTCAATCGCTTACTTCTTTCCATGGGTTGGATTTATAGCTTTTATAAATCTAGTGACCATCATTCCCAAGTGGCATCTGGCTACCTAAGTCACTGACGAGTAAAAACATGCTATGATCATACTTCCCTTCGGGCAGCAAGGAAAACCTGAAAATGCCTGCAGCTATGGAAACCTGGTCGGAATCACAAGTGACTCTGAGATGTAATAGATGTGTGCACCAAGGATTTGCAGGCAGAGGTGGAGGGGCATGTGGGTCTGGGGGAGTAAAACATTTTTATTCCTTCATCTGAGAGCAGTTTTCTCTTAGGACAGGAACTAGGGCCATTCACTAGTTTCGTATTCTCACTCAGAGCAGAGTGGACACAACCCAGGCGTTCATAAAATAAAGCTTGGCCAGACATGGTGGCTCATGCCTGTAATCCCAGCACTTTGGGAGGTGTAGATGAGAGGATTGCCTGAACTCAGGTGCTCAAGACCAGCCTGAGCAGGATTGTGAGACCTTGTGTCTACAATAAATAAAAAAATTAGCCGAGCATGGTACTGCATGCCTATAGTTCCAGCTCCTTGGAAGGCTGAGGCAGAAGGATCACCTGCCCAGCAAGTCGAGGCTGCAGTGGCCATGAGCGTATCACTGAGCTCCAGCCTGGGCAGCAGAGTGAGACTCCAACTCAGAAAAAAAGAAAAAAGAAAAGTAAAAGCCCAAGTTTCTGTGCCACACTTCCATGTGAATGGGAAGCATTTTGTGTCATGTGTCCATGTGTGGAAAATTTGCTTATTACTCCTACTCAATTTTTTCCCAAAGCTTTACTTAACTGTTTAAATAAAGCAGCACATAGATTTGGTGTGACTGAAATAGATGAGAGAAATTACTCATCTCTCCTCTAAGGTTCTGTGATTCTAAAATGGGTATGGTCTGAATGGTGACTTTCAAACTGTATTGACATGACCCACTAGAAGGTTAGATGTATTAAGCTTGTGACCTTGTCTATGGAGACGTGCGTATACACAGATACATGTACAAAATGAAACTTGCAATATAACCTAATAATTTTATTCTAAATTGAAAAACATCCAGAAATATATTCTAAATACAAAAAAGACACCTAAGAGCAAAAAAGCATGAAAGTACTTTTTAATTAAAATATGAGTGTGGGCGAGACACAGTGGCTCAGCCTATAATCCCAAAATTTTGGGAGGCCGAGGTGAGAGGATTACCTGAGCCCAGGGGTTCAAGACCAACCCGGACAACTTGGTGAGACCTCATCTCTACAATAAATCACAAAAACTAGCCAGGTGTGATGGCTTGCATCTGTAGTTCCAGCTATTTGGAAGGCTGAAGCAGAACGATCACCTAAGTCCAGCAGGTTGAGGCTGCGGTGGCGGTGAGCATGCCACTGCACTCCAGCCTGGGTGACAAGAGTGAGACTCCAACTCAAAAAAAAGAAAAGAGTGTGTGTAAATGCAATTCTTCTGCACTGAGCATATGAGGGGGGACCCACAAAACCCAGAACTTATTTATACAAAATTGTATATTTATTCTTATATATTTAAACTCCAGTCATCATCAAAGTCCTCTTCATTTGATGCAATATACCTTCTGAGACACTTTTACCACTGCTCAAAACAGCTTTTGCACGCATCAGTTTTCATGCTATTTAGTGCTTCTGCTGTTTTTTGTTTCACCTCTTCCACATCAGTTGAAATGTTTCCCTTTGAGGAATTTTTTCATCCAGGGAAACAAACAAAAAGTCACTCGGGATGAAATAGGGCCAATAGGAAGGGTGAGGCCATGCCATTTTAGGTCAAAAACTGCTGAACACTCAGCACAGTGTGGGCAGGTGTGTTGTCATGGTGGAAGAACCAGTCACCTGTTTGCCACAGCTCAGGACATTTCTTCTCCAAATCATGACACAACCTTCTCAGAACATCCAGATAAAAAACTTTGGTTGACCATTTGATCCAGAAGAACAAATACCAATTATACAACAAGGGGCCTGTCCTCCAAAATAAAATTCAGGTTTTTTGAGGGGATATCCTCCCATACACTTTTTTCATACATTTAGGATAATAAGAGTGTAACATTAAAAAAAAAATCGCTCCCATCAAATAATTAAGATGCTCCATCATTAAGGTATCTTAATCATGTGTTTTGGAATTTAAATTATCCAAATAAATTATTGAAAACTGGCATATTTGAGCAAGAATATATCTGGAGATATATTCAACTTACATGCCTCATAGCTTAATGAAATTAACACAGAACATTCTCCTACTCCTGTTCTTGGGCTTTGTGTTTCACAGCCTTTATCACTAATAATATTTTTGCTTCCTATATGCATGTTAAGAGTAATAACAGACCAATGACAGGAGGCTGAATGTGAGTCTATATGGGAATGTGATACTATTTGGGAATGATAAATTCAAGTCCATTAGGAAATGGGGAGGAGGCATTAGGGTATTAGAATTTGAAATTGCTCCTAAGGCAGTTTATTTGGAATAAAATAAATGATCCTTTTACCTGTGAAGATTAAAATTGAAGGTACAAGGTCAAGGCATTCCTAGGGAGTCAACATATACAGAATGGAGAATTACTGGCATACAGCATACAAGCACAACCCTTCCTCACCCACAGCAGATTTCACTTATCAATCATAATTTTCTCTTTTGATGAACACCAGCTTGAGCCTTTGAGAAGCCATCTCAAAATAGTTCTCCAGGGAGCCATGATCAATTATTCTTGGCATCCTTGGAGGCTCGGAGCTAGTGTCTGTACACAGACAGCTCCAGTTACAACCCAGAAGAGAGGTCCTAGCAGCATCATTCTTACAGGTAACAGGTAAGTAAACAGAGCCAAGGACTTGTCCCTCATGTACTCAATTCTACCACTGAAAGCAAGGACTTTGTACATAACAAATAAAAACTAATTCCATTCCTACAAATAACTTGAAAAACACAAACCAGGCCCTGAGATCACCCATATTTGAGAAGTAGAAAATTTTTCACAATAGACTCATAGCTGGTCCCTGAGATCCCAGAAATCTAAGATGAATAATACTAAGTTAGTCCAAAGATTGAAAAGGGTTTTTTGTAGCGAATAGTCCAAGAGACTGACAAAAGTAAGGTAACAAATCATCCTATAGCAT